TGGGATATTTATCAGCACTGGTCTCAATTAGTTCAGAGTTAGAAGGTTCAGTAGTTTTTGGGGGGTGGGTTCCACAACTGTTACAAAAGCCCAAACTATGTGGTGCAAAAATACCAGTTTAATTATATATCTTTCTGCATGGAGAGCAGCTGTTACATCGGAGAAAAAAGCTTTTAAAGCATTTCTCATTTGAACCATTGTCTTGTCTTAGAGAAAGGGGAAAAAATCTGTTTCAATTGTTTTGAAGCTGCTGCACAAGTTATCACACAAGGTGATGTACATGAAATGTTTTCATAACCTTGTTTATATCTATCCTGACGCCATGTCTAGATGTAGAGGTGCCTGATGTATAGAGAGCAATGAAGTGCAGTTTTTCCTTCATGTATTTCACCTTTCATCCAGTTACTGTCTTTGACTCTTTGTTTGTGTAACCCCTTCCCCTTCCCCAGAAGCCCATTGTTTAAATTTACCCCAAGTAAGTTTTTGCATGTAAGAACTTGGAGAGTTATTTCGTGGTATTTCTATTGGGGTATAGCTCAGCCTTGTAAATAAGACCATAAAACAGAGTGTTCTTCCTGTGTTCTGAGAGAATTATATTTTGTCTGTCACTTGGTATTATGATCCATTCTGAGGTTAAGAGTATCATGCAGACCTGTTATTAAATAACCATTGACCAAGATTTATTAGAATTCTGCAAGGGGGGAACGCTTTGAGGAATGGGTGTTCATACCACAAATGACATGAATTCATGGCTCCTCAAGTCCTCTACCTTTTCATTTAAGAAGGAAATTACTTACTTATAACTTCCTATTGTTCCTCTCTGCTGAGAAAGCTTACAACATTTCCATGCACATTCTTATAGCCTCAGTGTAATTTGAGTCATCTTGAATACATGGGATTAAAAATGTAGAGGCACCTACACCATCTGCATAATTTCCAAAGTGGTGCCATTATAGTGATCCGAAGATGGTTTCCAGAATGTCATAAAATAATTATTAAAACACAGAAAATAGCAGATCAGCCTGAAAATACTGAAAGCAGAAAGTGGCCTCATTGGTTCACCCCAAACGCCTCGAAAAATAAGAATGTTTTTACTTGGCAGCAGAAACTCATCAGAGTCTCTGCCACCAGAACTTCCAGAAGCAGAGTTCACAGTCAGGGAGCCAAAGAAAGGTCTCTTGCATGTCATCCCACAGGGCCTGGGACAGATGATACGGGAGAGGAGGTGTTCAACAAATAACTTTATCTATGTTCTATGCCTGCATGCTGAGGTACTGTCTGTCATCCTATAACAGTTTTCTGTACCAGCAGAGGCCCAGAGGGGCCTTTTCTGTGGTGGCTCCCCATTTGTTGAATGCACTCTCCATGCCTTCATTACATTTCTTTAGGTACTAGGTGAAAACATTTCTCTGTAACCAGGCCTTTGTTGGATTAAACATACTAAGGCCTTTAATGTGTGTTTGTGGGGGGTAGCTGGGTATTGGTTTGTTTTTGTTCTTGTTTTAAAATATATTTTGTGTTCTCATTTTTGTATTTTTATGTTGTGAACCACCCTTTGATCTTTGAATGAAGAAGAGTGGGATGATGATGATGATGGGCTACAAGATTGTGGATCAGCATGTCTAGACTATTCTTATCCAGATATTTATTTGATATTTCTCCTCAACTTTGACCCAGAAAGATCCCTACAGTGGTTTACATAAAATAATAACATGTACTTTTATCAAGCTGCTTCTGACCATTTTAGTTTGTCTGCCCTTACTGATCTTATCACTGAGGAACACTGATAAGCTTCCCAGGAGCCACAGAGTTTCCTGGAACCCAGACAATACTGTCTGCCCTAGCTGGCACTAAAGTTATACATGACAGAGCATAGGGATTTTTTTCTGTTTTAATGGTAAAATAATACACTTCATTGAAGTATGAAGATCCACCTTTTGAAATGGAAAAAATTTTCAGCACTACTGCCGGATAGACTAGTTGGGCTGAGATGTATTAGATGCACAGAATAAAGCATGGAAAATAAGTAAAGGTGCTAATTACATCAATGTAAATTGGTCTGCTAAAAGGTGCCGCTACTTAGTTAGAATCTACGGGATTAAATACAGTCTGTTTGCCTGTGGATAATCACCATTGGAAACCATGCCTGGATAATGTTTTTTTCTATTCTGCCTAATAGACATCTACTTGTTTCTTATAGGCACAGGACCTGAATGTGATTGAAGAAGTCATTCGAATGATGTTAGAGATAATCAACTCTTGCTTGACAAACTCACTACATCATAACCCTAACTTAGTATATGCACTGCTTTATAAGCGGGATCTCTTTGAGCAATTTCGAACTCACCCCTCTTTCCAGGATGTAATGCAGAATATAGATCTGGTAAGTAAAAATAAACTCTTACGAACTGATCTTCTACAATACCCTTTATAGGTAAAGGTAAAGGGACCCCTGAATGTTAGGTCCAGTCGTGGCCGACTCTGGGGTTGTGGCGCTCATCTCGCTTTATTGGCCGAGGGAGCTGGCGTACAGCTTTCGGGTCATGTGGCCAGCATGATTAAGCCGCTTCTGGCGAACCAGAGCAGTACATGGAAACGCCGTTTACCTTCCTGCGGGAGCGGTACCCATTTATCTACTTGCACTTTGACTTGCTTTCGAACAGCTAGGTTCTTAAACTCCTACTTTTTGTAGATGTGGATTTTGCTTTTACAATTGTTAAATTCATTGTGGAAAGCTATTTGTATTTTTATTTCATTTTTGCACAGATGCATGTGGTTCTCACATCATACAGGGGGAAAGTGGTCATTTATGTATAAAGCATCTAAATCCTGTGGGAATTGTACAGAAATTAAAAAAAACCGGATAAATGCCTGCAGCATTATATCCAAACACCCACAAAAGGTTGGAGAGGGGAGAAGAAAATACACTATTCAGATTCAAGGTCATACATACTTGTTATGAGGACCAGGTAGCCAAGGCAATAGTTACCCCTGCTTTCTCATCTCTCTGTCTCATGCTACCTATACTATGGTAGTAAAGCATAGCACACAGATTTTACCACTAGACAGATGTGTGATTACAAGAATTTATTTTTTAGAGATCCAGAGATCTTAGATCTGTCCAGAGAAACATTTACAGTGGGACCTCGGGTTACAGACGCTTCAGGTTACAGACGCTTCAGGTTACAGACTCTGCTAACCCAGAAATAGTACCTCGGGTTAAGAACTTTGCTTCAGGATGAGAACAGAAATTGTGCGGTGGCAGCGGGAGGCCCCATTAGCTAAAGTGGTGTCTCAGGTTAAGAACAGTTTCAGGTTAAGAACGGACCTCCGGAACGAATTAAGTTCTTAACCCGAGGTACCATATGAGCTCTTTGTGACAAAGTTCAGGGACCTAGTGGCTTGCCAGAATTAATTACTAAGATGTACAAGGTGCAAACAGCTGAGCAGCTGAGAAAGTGGCAAAGCAGCTTATCAAACTGGACTGGCAATGCTATCCACAATATAATCCCTAATAGATGAACTCCATGTAAGCCTGAATCTGATAAGGACTGTGGAGGTAGGATAGTACCTTTAAGTTTTTCATCTGAGGGCGAAACAGCAGCATGGGGAGTGATACCCATCAGGAAAAGAGGGAGAGGTTGTTTTGTTTTTTGTTTTGTTTAAAATAATAATATGTGCTGTAGTGTACATTGAATTTAGAGGGTCCTTCCACAGCTTTTATACAGATCTGCAGTCAGAGATATCGCAGTGTCATGTTTAGTTTGACTGTAGGTTAGAAATAAGCAACTGGGAGCCTCAGAACCAAACTCATCCCCTGCAAGTTGCCAGCTCTCCCTCCTGGAAAGTGTACAGAAGGAGTGATGGCAATGAAATTTATTAGCCTTCCACCCGACCTTCCCATTTAGATAGTCCTATGGTGAACTATTGTGTATCTGAATTGATCAGTTCAGCTGTTCAACAGTTCAACACTAAAGTTTAAAAATGTTTAAAGTTGCCTTTGTTTTTTTATACTGTACTTCTAATTCTATTCTCATGAGCCCTTGTGGAACTATCAGGTGGCACAGAACAGCAGCTGCAATGAAAAAGGAGGTTTTTAAATATACATACTTTTCTTGAAGGCTGCTGTGGTAAGAATATCTGCTTTTCCTCTTGCAGAGACACCAGACAAGACAGGAGGTGGCAGAGCAGACACTCTGATTACTGCAGGAGAGATAGATTTATTTATTTATTTGCTTGTTTTAATCAGTTATACATTGCATTCTCTGCCCAAAAGGGGCACCTGAAACAGCATATATTAAAAAGCTAAAAAATGTCTAATTAAAACACTATCAGCCAATAAATCACTAATGCTTTATCCAATCCCCCAACCAAAGCCTATATAGGAAAATAATAATCTTCAATTGCAGTGATGGTATATTATCATAAGTTTATTGGAACAAATACACCCATTCTTATTTGTGCAATAAACGTCAGATAAATTGTATAACACATGCCAAAAAAAAGTCTGAAAACCCTCAAAAAAGCAGAATCTGAGAGCCAACCAAAAATATAACAATAACTGGAAAAGGCTGGATCTACACTAAACACTGGAAATCACAATTTATTAATAACCGTCTAGCAAAAATATTTCAGTAAGGCAGTCTGTCAAATGTCATTACAGCCATTATTTGATAAACTGATTTTATAGAAATATTTTGCCAGACATTTCTGTTTAAAAAAGAAACAAAAAGCCATTCCAATCTTTTCAAACATATTTATTTAAGATATTTTCCACCAGCCTTTCCATCTACAGGCGTGTTTTACATCAAAATAAGTGTGTGTGTGTATTAAAATAATCATACCAGAGTTGCTGAATATATAACTTTAAAACAATTAAGAAAAAGCCAGAACATCAGCTGTTCTGCTTTCCCATACATCCTATAAAACATTTACTGTTATAGAATCATAGAATTGTAAAGTTGGAAGGGACCGCAAGGATCATCTAGTCCAACCTCCTGCGGTGCAGGAATCTTTTTGCCCCAAACCCACGACCCCGAGATTAAGAGTCTCATGCTCTACCGTCTGAGCTATCACTTTTCTCTAGTTGAAGTGGATGTCAGTATTCCCTGGTGTTGTAAAAGAGGGCAGCTGGAAGATTGCGCATTACCCTATAATTGTCCCTGGAAGTTTGGCTGGTACAGAGAAAAAATACCTACACAAATGAGGTATGCTGTGCTGCTCATATTCATAAACTTGGGTATTCGTACATTATTTGCATAATATAAGAATAATTCTGCCTGGATTTGTGGGACTGAGCTACAACTCTGATTTTGTGCAGATAGAAAACATATGGTTCACTTAGCAACCAGGAATAGAATGATTTCTGTTTTCATTTACTGCTCAAGCCTGTTCCAGAAGTAAATGGATTCCCATTTTGAGGGATGTGATATGCACTTTCTTACTGGTAATTGTCAATGGTGTACTGATATCCTAAATGTTACACAAAGTTGGTTACTTATTATTTTTGTTGTATTGAGGATCTTCCTGCAAGATGGGTAATTCTTATAAGGAACTTGAAAAGCATTTCAAAAAGTGGGGGGAAATCAAACGAGTTAAGAATGACTACAGCTGTTTGCTGCAGTTGCTAGCTGTTGGCTCTTAAGGATGTCTTTGTAGGCAAGATGTTAACTTACTGTGAACACAGATTTGTTAATTTATGGGGACTTAATAAGACTTATTGCATTAAAATAAGGAGTTACTTGCAATTCCTGAGCAGCAGATACCATTAGAGAGTAGCTTTCTCAAGACCAATACATTACCATTGAACACTGCAAAATCTGTGTATGTGGGTCTACCCTCTACCTTCTTTTTCATGGGCTTGTATTGTTATTTTTATTTATTATTCTAAGAAACTTCCAAGACATTTAAAACTTAAACGCAGCTACATTCTACCATTAAAAACAGAACAAAACAACCCCAAAACAGCCATAGGAAACTTTGGTAGTGCACTAATAAACATCACTTTTACCTGCCATCAAAAAGATGATAATAGTGAGAGCTTGTATAGCATTAATGAATGAAAAGTCCACTGTTCAAATCTTACATTTGCCATAAACTCAGTAGGTGGTTTTAGGCAAGCTGCTCTCTGACTCAGCATCCCTCTCACCACAGTATGAGGATAAACTGACATACCTTTCAAATGTGTTGTTGGATTACTATGATAATGTATGGGAAATGCTTTAAGCACTCTAATGGGAAGGAGAGAGGTAGGGGGAAGAAAGAGAATGGAGGTGGTGAAAAGAAACGAGGTGGCCTCATCCACCTATGTGCTTTGAATTTGTTGGAGGTGTGGCCTTCAAGGAAACAGCTCTGAGGATGCTCAGAACAGAAGTACCGGCTCACAGGTCTACCAGAAGGGTAGATCTGCTAAGGTTAAGGTTTGTGGTAATTAAAACCTTTACAAGATATTTGCTTAGGATTTGCAGTCAACGGTAGTTAGGATCAGCAGAGCCGTTATTTCTTTACAGGAAGGGATGCTTTTCGGTTGAATTTTGTTCACTTTCTACTTTAAGCATATTCTGAAAAGTCTTCTTTGCAAGCCTGGCAGGTCTCCCTACTCCAAAAGAGAAGTAATGTCTGTACTTGCCTGCAGCAACAGTATATCTCATTTGAATCCTGGAGTAATCAAACCATCAGCTCTCTTTTGTTTTACTAATAGGCTGTAAGGGCCTAATTTGGCTTAACAGCTTCAGTTGGGTGCCTAGCTCTGCATTGCAAAAGGATCCCAAGAACATTATTGCCATGCAGTAAACCATTTCCTAGTCCTTGGCTTCGATTATCAAAGGAATGTTAACTGCCTTCAATGACATGGGCATGGGCATTGTTTCTCTTCTTAAGATAGGTCTACCTAACTTCTCAAGATTGCATGTTTAGAGATGTGTCAGCAGCATTTCCAGATCTACCTTCCTTTATGTGATATTGCAAAACATTATCGTATAAGCCTTGGTGTGTAAGATAAACTAGCCAATGTAGTCTTCATGGTTCTGAGAATTATCATGAAGATTAAATAAAAACCCAAAGCAATCGTTACTCCTGCTATTTCCTGTTTTCTTAGGAAACTTTGTTCCTGCTTCAGTAGTCAAAAAAAGCCAAGTGGCAGATAGGGGCAGAAGCTGAAAATTCACTGAACTTTGCGGTCTTTTAGCTGCTATGCAGTATTGCTGAAGTATGCATATGTACATTTTTGGATCATGGTCATCATAGCGTATAGGAACAAGCTGAAGATGTGGAAATAACAGTGCTTAAATTACCTGGAATTGTTGTTGTTGTTGTTGTTTAGTCGTTTAGTCGTGTCTGACTCTTCGTGACCCCATGGACCAGAGAACGCCAGGCACCTCTGTCCTCCACTGCCTCCCACAGTTTGGTCAAACTCATGCTGGTAACCTCGAAAACACTATCCAACCATCTCGTCCTCTGTCGCCCCCTTCTCCTTGTGCCCTCCGTCTTTCCCAACATCAGGGTCTTCTCCAGGGAGTCTTCTCTTCTCATGAGGTGGCCAAAGTACTGGAGCCTCAGCTTCACAATCTGTCCTTCCAGTGAGCACTCAGGGCTGATTTCCTTCAGAATGGATAGGTTTGATCTTCTTGCAGTCCATGGGACTCTCAAGAGTCTCCTCCAGCACCATAATTCAAAAGCATCAATTCTTCGGCGATCAGCCTTCTTTATGGTCCAGCTCTCACTTCCATACATTACTACTGGGAAAACCATAGCTTTAACTATACGAACCTTTGTTGGCAAGGTGATGTCTCTACTTCTCAAGATGTTGTCTAGATTTGCCATCGCCTTTCTCCCAAGGAGCAGGCGTCTTTTAATTTCGTGGCTGCTGTCACCATCTGCAGTGATCATGGAGCCCAAGAAAGTAAAATCTCTCACTGCCTCCATTTCTTCCCCTTCTATTTGCCAGGAGGTGATGGGACCAGTGGCCATGGTCTTCTTTTTTTTTGATGTTGAACTTCAGACCATATTTTGCGCTCTCCTCTTTCACCCTCATTAAAAGGTTCTTTAATTCCTCCTCACTTTCTGCCATCAAGGTTGTGTCATCTGCATATCTGAGGTTGTTGATATTTCTTCCGGCAATCTTAATTCCGGCTAGGGATTCATCCAGCCCAACCTTTCGCATGATGAATTCTGCATATAAGTTAAATAAGCAGGGAGTCAATATACAGCCTTGCCGTACTCCTTTCCCAATTTTGAACCAGTCAGTTGTTCTATATCCAGTTCTAACTGTAGCTTCTTGTCCCACATAGAGATTTCTCAGGAGACAGATGAGGTGATCAGGCACTCCCATTTCTTTAAGAACTCGCCATAGTTTGCCGTGGTCGACACAGTCAAAGGCTTTTGCATAGTCAATGAAGCAGAAGTAGATGTCTTTCTGGAACTCTCTAGCTTTCTCCATAATCCAGCGCATGTTTGCAATTTGGTCTCTGGTTCCTCTGCCTCTTCTAAATCCAGCTTGCACTTCTGGGAGTTCTTGGTCCACATACTGCTTGAGCCTTCCTTGTAGAATTTTAAGCATAACCTTGCTAGCGTGTGAAATGAGTGCAATTGTGCGGTAGTTGAAGCATTCTTTGGCATTACCTGGAATACAAATGCTAAATACTGTTTTTAATCTAGCATTTATACCTACCAGTTGAAGAATCTCAATTAGGAAATGACTCACTGTCATAAATCAGCTGGGTAGGTTTCTGTATCCTTAAAAAAAAAATCTAGTTGACAGATACCCTGACATTGTTTAATTAACCTGTGTTTCCGCTTATTTACAGACAGAAGTGTATGTGTGTGTGTATATAATATATATTTCCCTGTTCCATTCCAGGTGATCAGCTTCTTTAGCTCCAGAATTGAGCAGGCTGGGGCTGAGCTGTCTGTAGAGAGAGTTCTGGAAATCATCAAGCAAGGAGCTGTTGCTCTGCCCAAAGACAGGCTCAGGGTGAGTGCTAACAAAATCAGTCAATGTGTAGCATGCCACAAAGCAGCACTTTAAGGATAATTTTCTTTCTTTAGGTTACAGCATTGCCTGCTGTAGAGTTCTACTATATTTGAGTTCCGGGTGTTTGTATGGATTATTAATCTATAACAGAATGTGCAAGCATACTGTGAAAAAGAACAAATGGCTATATAACATTGGTGTAGAAATTATCATTTCTGTCACCCTATGCTTCTTCAAGAACCCTAATGAATTATATGCACACGTTGCTACTAGAGATGTCTTGTGACTACAGTGGTACCTTGGTTCCCAAACTTAATTCGTTCCGGAGGTCTGTTCCAAAACCAAAGTGTTCTAAGACCAAGGCATGTTTTCTCATAGAAAGTAATGCAAAACGGATTAATCCGTTCCAGATTTTTAAAAACAACCCCTAAAACAGCAATTTAACATGAATTTTACTATCTAACAAGACCATTGAGCCATAAAATGAAAGCAATAATCAGTGTACGATACTGTAGAATAAATAAGGCAGTATTGTAGAGGATAAAAATTTAAAATATATATATTTCTTACGTGCACTGATGATAGTCATTGTTTGGATGGGAGGCTTTATCCATTTCTGCAGTCACACAATAAATCAGTAGCTGAATTGGGTTCCACACAGTCACAAAAACAAAGTCACAAGCCACAATCACCAGTCAGTCCCATAAAACGAAGAACAAGTCACAGTAAAAAAAACCCGAAAAAGCCACACAAACAAAAACACAAAAAATAGCAAAAACAAAAGCTCCAAAAATCACCTCTGTGTTGTGTGGGTGCTCAGGACTCAGCAGCCAACAGACTCAACAGGAAGCCTCTGATTAGCAGCAGGGGGACTCAATTTACAAACGGAACACACTCAACAGGAAGCGGAACATGTTCTGCTTCGAAGGCAAAGTTCACAAACCGGAACACCTACTTCTGGGTTTGCAGCGTTCTATTTCCAAGTTGTCATAAACTAAGCTGTTCTAAAACCAGGGTTCTACTGTATATAGCTTATTATTTTATTTGTTCATTTCATTCCTATGCCACTTTATATATTTTTTTAAAAAAATACATCAAAGCAG